TGATGATGATGATGATGATGATAATAATAATAATAATAATAATAATAATAATGGAGATCGAAATTATGAGGATGTGAAATACTAAGACGAGAATTGTGCAAGTGGTGGTTGGAGCCCTTGGCTCTATAAAGAATGGGTTTGAGAAGATCTTTAATGAACTCCCTGGCCACCACACTGCTCAAGAAGTGAAGAAAATTGCACTACTGGGAACAGCACACATCCTGCGAAAAATTCTGGATTGAATCCCTTATGTCCCAGGTTGGGACACCGCCAACCCAGAAGCCACCGGCTAATGCCGTGATCCACTTTGATAATAATAATAATAATAATAATATTTGTACGTGGATCGTAAATTCGCGGGTGATTGCCACATATGTATGTAGGAAGGTGTAAGAAGATTCCCAAACCCATGACAGATAAACCATGCAAACGAACATTATGAATGCTCACATTACGAAGACATTTCAGCACACGCTGAATTATACCAAGCGGTGTGATTGTAAACTGGACTGATAACTCTTTATTTTAAATGCATATAAGCCTTACTCTTACAAAATATGGTTCTTCTCGGGAGATATTGCGCATGCGCGAGCACCGTTTCAGACGTGCAGTACGGAATAAAGAAAACTGCATAATACAGCTTGCTGTGAGAGAGAGGGGTAAGAGACCGAGGAAAAGCGGCAGGGAAGATAGCTGAGGGGCGGTAGAAAAAGAATTAGGCTGAGCGAGGAACAGGGAAGACAATGGGAAATACGGGAAAGGGTGAAGTAGCAGTTTTGCACCCTATAGGCAAGGGCGCTCTCCTAATTATAACCACAGGTGTACTGATAACAATTAATTACAAAAATCTACGCTGAGATACTTCCTAACCATATTAAATGTATATTTATCACAAAATAGAACTCCTCTGGTAATATATTGCGCATGCGTCAACACACTATAACGTAGCCAGATTATGTATACTGACTGGTTTATGCAGTGGTCCCCTTACATCCAAGGTCTTAATTCTTCCTATTTATTAAGGAATGTGTAATGATAGAATGTTATCATATAACGTCACTTGATTTCTTAAAATTTCCTTATTATCTTTTCCTCTTATTCTAGTCCGTCTGATGTAACGTTGCAACAATGACGCACATGCGTGCACGAAACATTTTGCCAGCCATCCCACACACGGTTGAACATGACATGTATAGTATCAAGAGTGGATAATAGAGATCTATTATCCACTCTTGATAGTATAGATAATAGAACAGGGCGGTGTGGTTTAAGGGTGCTGGGGGGGGGGGGCAACTGCAGTCACTGGCCCTAGTTAAATAGCTCCTATTAAAAATATGACACCAAAAAACTTTGAAAATGGCATCAAAATGTAGAAAATTCGCCTATTCCACATTCGACAGTTTTTACATTTAGTTTTTTTTATTCATTCATTTAATTATTTATATATTGATTAAATTTTGATATATTTAACTATATATTTAAAATCAGCGGATCTAGGAACGGGCCAACAAGTGGTGAATATAGCGAGGGTTGGAAATTACAAATTTAAAGCGCCAGCGAGGAGCGCTCGAGCTATATATATGGTACGCAGGACGCTGTAAGCTCCCCTGTGGGGCATAGCTGCGGATTTTAGTGGTGATAACAATTTCTGGCCTCTATAGTGTGCATTATATTTTGGAAAGATTAAGTGTAAAGGCGGTTTGAAATCGGCATAAATAAACGCTTCACGTCTCGCAAATGCTATTCGTTTTCTGATATGATTTCTTGTATATATGGGAAAAGCATCTCGACATCGCCCTGCTAGCTCCCTCTGAATCCGCCAGTGCGCGGGCCTGTTGTACACCCATAGAAATGTATAATGTCTCTAATTAGTCTAACTAGTATATTATTTTTATGTGTATACCACTGATCTCTATATATACTAACTTTTAGTATCTAGAGATCAATTAATGGTGTTATACGTACTGCATGTATATAGGCCTACACATAAATTTATATATAGGACTAAATCGAAGTTGTACAGTGAAGTCGAATGTGTAAGAGATTGACAGTCCGGAGCTGGGAACAGATTAATTATACGTGTATTTTAGAATATAGAATAGGACATGTATATTCTGTTCTCAGGTCATAGCACATATCATAGGTGCATGTAATAGACCGATTTACATTACGATAAATGTTGTCTTTTCCCTTCCACTTTTCCTCTCATTATAGCATAAGGCATTTTTGACTGGTACAAAGGTAAAACGACAATGAAACCGATAATATTATTTCTTGATTTATAATTACCATTATATTATCAAGCTGCGACGACAACATTGGCGATTACTTTACCGGACGATAGCAACGAATCATGTGCTAATTTCTCGGTCGTTCTTTTCAAAATGGCGGGAAAACGAGGGTGTACTTCATTTGAAACTATGCTGAGACTTTATGAACTTATTTAATTGAGGTTTACAA